CCCCCCCCCCGCAGCAGCTTATGGCACCTGGAGGGACCCCCATAGGCACCCCAACCCTATAGGGACCTATAGGGACATGCAGAACCCCATAGGCACTTCCAAACCTAGATGGACACGGCCCTCCCTCCCCATAGCCACCCCAGGACCTACAGGGACCCACAGGGTCACAGGGACTGCCCATAGGCACACGGGCACCTGGGGGGACCCATAGTTGCACAGGGACACCCATGTAGACCCACAGGAGTTTATAGGTGGAGAGCAAACCCCTCCCCCCCCCATATATTCAGGAATGTATGGGGCAAGGGGAACTGCCCACATGCACCTTAACACTTACAGGGTCCTATAGCAGCACTGTGACCCCCAAATCCGCCCCAAATCCACCCCAATCCTATGGGTCCTATGGAGACCCAGGGCCCCTATAGCCATATGGGCACCAGTAGGAGCTTATAGGGTCACGGGGACCCCCCATAGGTGCACCAGTAGTTATGGACATGCGCGTCTACACGTGGACACACGTATGTGCACGCAAGCACACACATTACATGTGTGTATGTACAGCCACGTACGTATGCACACACCTATACATACAGAAACATACATGTACACGTGTGAGCCCAGCCCTTCATGTACCGTCTGTGTTCACACTGGTGCCACATGTGTGGGTGCCATGTGTGCACACCTAAACACCACGTGTGTACACATATGTATGGCCTATGTACACATGTGTCATGCAGACACACGTGTAATGTGTGTGCATACATGAATACTACATGTATGTACAACGTGTGTGCCTGTGAGTGGAGGAGGGTCACTTCTGTGGTGTGGGGGGGTCTATAGGGGTATGGGGGGTAGTCTTTAGGGGTGTGGGGGGGTCTATAGGGGTGTATATGGGGGGGGGATCTATAGGGCTCTGTGGGGGGTGGTCTTTAGGGGTGTGTGGGGGTCTATAGGGTTGTGTGGGGGATCTTTAGGAGCATGTATGGGGAGGGGGCATATGGGGTATGAGAGCCTGTGTAGGGTCATGTGTGTGTCTGGGGGGGAAATGTATAGGGCTGTGTGTAAATAGGGCTGTGTAGAGGGCTCTGTAGGGCCGTGTACTGGGCTCTGTATAGGGCTCTGTGTATAGGGCCGTACATATAGGGCCGTGACCTATAGAGCCGTGCCTATGGAGCTCCACGTATAGGGCCGCTCTCAGGGGGGTCCCCGTGTGTGTTTGACCC